ATACAGAAATAAAAATAGAAAAAATATAAAAATAAAAAACAAATAAAAAACAGTCAATGAGATATTATAACTAATCACTCACTTTCCTGACATTGATCCCCAGAGTAACCCAATGGGCAGACACAAGAGTAAGTGAGATCACTAGAGACACAAGAGCCGCCATTTTGACAGGGAGAATGAGAGCAGGGATCAACCTGACACTGAATGACGCCTCTGCTTGATATCACAGCACCTAAACCAAAGCTATTGACCTAGAGAAAATAATACAGAAATTAACATGGAAATAAATTGATAATAAACATACATGTACATGTAATTAAATTGATAAAAAAATTTAGTGTCCAGTAGAATGTTTTATGCTGTAGTCCGCATGTATAGTACATGCATACATATAAATTTGTCATTTGCCACCTAGTCTATGTCCATCTGTATCATTGTTACTAATTGAAAAGCTGTACTAACTACTATACACTGTATATATGTATACTAACACAAAAATACTAATTATTATATTCTGCAACCTAAAACTAATCACAAAGCATGTACATGTACTTACATGCATATATGTAACACTATAAATATAATAAACAGAATATTAGGTCTTACTCTAAGAGTAGCAGTATCCACACAGCCAGTGAGACCCACATGAGACCCAGCATTAGGTGATACCTGATACCCTCCCACACCCCCTGCCCCTCCTCCTATGTACAAATTACCGACAGGGTTAAGCAATCCAGCGAAACCAGGTGAACTACCATTAGTACTGACACCGTCAACGACCAGTATCCCATCTTTCCTCACTCTATTGACGGTGACACTGGTCCACTGGTTTAATGGTATAACGGATGAGCTCGCTATAATGGCTACGCCGGAGCCAAGGTCATAGCGTAGTTGGATTCTTCCACTGACAAGAGAGAGGGAGAGGAAGTCACGAGTCGTGGAGACGTCACCAATGTAAAGGATCAACCCATTTGATGAGGTGGGATGGAAGGAGAGGGAGATACTGGTAGTGAGTGAGATTGGAGCAGGAGAAGAATATTCCTGGTAGGAGGTTCGGTTGAATGATGGAGTACTGACTTGCAGCACTAATGACAGAGATAGAGATGCAATTAATATGTACAAAAAGTAATATTAATACATGCAGAAATGTACGTGTTTATGTACATGTACATGCATATTGTATGTGAGTAATAGTAATATTGTTAAGTGAGCTAAACAGCATGAGCTTCATGAGCTGACAAGCACTACAATACAGTACATGGCATTTGGAGCAACTTTTAAAATTCATAAAAAATTCAAATTTGATCAGAATCAGCTCAAATTTTCTATGCAACATAAAAACATGTATATGCATCAGGAAAAATTATAAAAATTGAGAATTATCTCCTCTTTATTTTTGGTGAAATTTGGCCGATCACACTGTACTATAGTACAGGGACTTTAGCCTGATTTTTGAGCAACTTTATAAATTCATAAAAAATCCAAATTTGATTGGAACCAGCTCAAACTTTCTACGCAACATAAGTACATGTATATGTATCAAAAAATGCTATAAAAATTGAGAATTTTCTACTTTTCATTTTTGGCAAAATTTGGCCAAAATCCCTGTACTATAGTACAGGGACTTTTGCCCAATTTTGGAGCAATTTTAAAAATTCACAAAAAATCTAAATTTGAATGAAATCAATTTCAACTTTCTACGCAACGTAAAAACATGTATATGTATCAGGAAAAATTATAAAAATGGAAAAATCTCTACTTTTCATTTTTGGCAAAATGCAATATAACAATTGTAATGTACGGTAATAGTTACTGATATCATAAGTTCATTGTACTTACTTTCATTGCAATTATCGCCACCAAATCCAAGAGGACACAGACAATTATAACCTCCTTCAG